CGCGCGCTGACCAGAGACCGACTTATTTTTTTTTTTTGGCCTTACAATGATTTTTTTGAAGTCAGTGTGTTCGTATAATGCTGGGGAAAAAAACAAGGACAACAATCATGCTCCTGTAGTCTGATTCCCTGACCCCACTTCAGATGAAACGGAGCAATTTGTGGACGTCGGGGAATTGTTAGGTCAGTGAACCAGTCTGGCTGGCTTGTACGCGTTCATAGGTGTGTAATCGATTACAAACAAAATGCGGACTCACTAAATATGGTAAACTGGGGGCAGTATTTGTAAAAAGTCAGTTTTTTTCCAACGCTGGTCGGCCGACCAGCGTTGGAAATTGATACAAAAATACCACTTTCTGGAAAATAAAAGCACACAAGGTAGTTTTTTTGTATGTTTGCCAATGTTGTATATCCCCTTTAAGCTTTCAAAATATATTTCCACAACCACGGAGAGAACACAGATAATAAGAGCTTGTTTTAATGTGAATTCATATTTCAATTTCATTGAGGTGTTTAAGTTTTTTCACTGAAATGATTAATGTAAGTGATGAAATTCCAACAAGAGCGATTCTACATGTTGGTCAGTAGGGGGCTCGTTTTTATTAACTGATTTCAACAGAATTATCACAGAAATGCAGACTGAAATCTTATTTTTTATACCGATTTACAATTGTGATCTTGAAAACACCTGTTTGTTTTGAAAGCAGAATCAGTTTCCTAACTGTATAGCTGTGTATATGAGATTAGCTTGGAAATAATGTATTAATTTTGTGCATCTTGAACAGAACAGTTGATGTTAAAAGCATTGTAGTAACAAAATCGTCAAACAACTGGTGCAAGAGAACACTACGTTTTGTATCACAGTTCTCTGTAAGGTGTTGGCCTTATATTGTAACGGTTGAGTAGTCAGTCACTGTGTACCCCAAATTTAAACAAAGCTACTATTAGAATGTGTTTGTTGAAATCACTATAATGTTGTTTTCTACTTCATAATGAAGATCACCATTTTGCCTTGAACCAGTTTTTATTATACTGACACATTTGTAATTGCTGGCAATAATAACGCTAATCATCAATCTCAACATTGTTTCTTTTTTTATATGAACTTCCACATGGTCTCTACTGAATAAGGCACAACAAGATTTAAACATTGAGAATTTAACCTGGGATATTTCCCCCACAATGTTTACATATCAAGATACTGTAAACAAAACTGTGTTAAGACTTTAAACAAATTTTGTAACCACTTTTTTCATGCGTTTTTATTTCGGATGTTAGTTTCTGATGAAAGCTGGTTAGTACCATCAAGTAAACATTGTAAAAGTAAATATGTACTTATCGGGTTGAAGTCCAATGACCGGCTAAATACAGGTATTTTTTTATCAAGTGTTTCAGAGGAGCACACCTTAAAATAATAAGTGTGCTTGTTTTTATTGTTGATAATACTAACAGGCTTTCATACTTTGCAAAAAATCTAAACATGTCTTTGACCAAAATTTTGAGGAAGTCGGCACAAAAAGTGTTCAAACTTTATGTAGCATTTGTAGAGTGGAGAATGGGGAAACGTGGAACAAACAAGAGTCAAAATTAGAAAATGATTAATAATTTGAAATCAATGGGCAATGATGATTGCTTACATGGGGATTGATAAGGACGATGTTCAAAGCTAGAAGATGGGTAATGAACATTATGTAATGATATCACACCAATATATTGACTGAGGTCTCTTTTATTGAAGGATTGTAAAGTTTTGTGTCAAAGATATTGAATGAGATTCAATGAAATGTGGTTGTAGATTAATACAAAAGACCAACACAGATTGTTATTTTTGATGATATAGATTTGGAAATATTTAGATTTTAGACAGCTTTCTTGTTTAATTTGTTGAAACACCAAGTGTCTTTTTGCAACGCTGATCACATCTCAAGGGATGCTTGCGCAGTGCACAAAAGAACGTGAAAGTATCACGTGACTGCACATCCACTTTGTAAACATATATATTTTGGTCTATACATGTAGTTACTGATTCAAGATGGTTCATGTGAACCAGCTTGTGTATTGGAAGCAGACAATTTATCTGAAGATTATTCATCTTTGATGTCATCAACCCGTTCATGAATTTCTGTTACAGTTCATAAACCGAGATGTCAGAAATCATCCAATTTTGGTGCAAATTTCCTTTTTAGAGTAAATAATCCACACGAATTCTACTAGTACTGAAACTACATGTATTAGACATGCAAATGTGCCGAACAAATATAATGAATGGTTTATATTTCCGCTACAACTCTAGCTTTTGATGATGTGTATATTTTTGACATACTTATATTTTTCTAAAAACACGTTTTTCTAATAAATTGCCAAAATATTCCAAACAGAAATAAAACTACTGAAATTTGTGAAAAAAAGTTTCATTTTATTGTGTTTTGTTGTAGCATTTTGGGCTTATTCGATACATTGAAAAATTGGCGCTTGTTGGTAGTTCCAGTCCAAAAAGCACTAATATACTATTTCAAATTTGTTTTTGAATGTTTAAAAAAAGATACCTTATAGGACAAAACACAATGAAAAAAAGACTACATTATCCCTGTCATGGTGACCATAGATGAAAAAATTAATGTAGATCACTAATTCCATGTCAACAAGCCAAAGTAAACAAGAACCCATGATTAATTTAAAAGGGGCGAAGTTGAAGGGCCGTGACTCCACTAAATCCCAAATATTGAATCAGTTATAACGGCTAGCAGCTAAGCTCTAAATTGAAACAACAACGATGACTGGGGACAAATTACAGGCTTCCTTCCATCACACGCCCTTCCAGCCCTCATTCTAATTGGTATGGAGACGCCTGTGCTGGAAATAGTAAAGAAAATGTTCTTTATTATGTTGGAACAAAATCTAGTAGCGAGAATCCCAACTAGGGGTCGTGGTCAATAATCTTCCTTTAGTGGTGCAATAATAGAGATATCAAGATTCATTTACAGTCCAGTGTTTATGAAATAGTTCTTTTTTTGTATCGTTCCAATTGTTGAAAGAACATTTTCACAAACACCTGTCCTATCCGCTCCGTTCACAAGTACCCCCTCACCGGCAAAGGAAGTACAGCTGGGGGTGCGCGGCCACTGCGTGTACATAGAACAAATCCCCTGGTGTACGCGCGTCACACACAAGGAACTGTGCGCGTCAACCAGCGAAATGTACCGCCCATGGGACGTCGTTGCTAGGTAAAAGGGCGCCCTCTTTTGGTAGCGCACGGAGCTCAAACGATTGGGTCTGTGTGAAAACTCGTTTGTTGTTTCGTCTCCGGATGTCACGAATGTACAGGGTGCACCCACCCCTCAAAAATGTCGAATGTTAAAGTGCCCGCTTATTCACAACTTTTTTTCAAAAATAGATCTTGAGTCTCGATATATATTTGACAAGTTTAGTTTAGCAGCTTTTCATCAAGGAAAAATATTCTGATCAAAAGAACATTATTTATATGTACCTTTATATTAAATTGCTAGTTTTTCATAATTGTGACTAATTTGGAACGTAATAGATTTGGGGTGAGGAAGGTTAAGTCACCGCGGACAAAACCAAAATGGGGCACCTTTTTGATTGACCATCGATAAATATTTGTTTTTGAAAGGGTAATTAATTAATATTGGATGGCTTTGAGGGGGACACAAGAATATATGTTTCATGTGCTGTATAACAATATTTTTATAGCGACATTTTTAAAGCAATATTTTCAAGAGGTCTACATTTGATAAATAACTTTTCTTTTGAATAATCAAAACTGTTCATCAGTCCTTCCTGATGTCAAATATCCCTTCACAGTGGTGGTAAGGGGGTGTGCACCATTTATTTTCAAGAGTGCCTTTTTTAAACGTCGCGCAACTGTCGACAATTGTTCCGCCATGAAAAGCGCCACCTATGGTCCGATAGTGCTCATGATCGCCCACTTTGAACAGCGCCCCCATACGAAGATGATGTCCTTGTCCCAACGCCACCGGTCCCCATCCCCTTTATTTCCATAATCCCTTTTCAATTTTATGGAGGCCGGTGACTGAAAAAAACCTGTCTACGTTTCAGTAGGGATGAGGCGAGTGCCCGTTTCAAGTCTAACCCCCTCCCCTCCCCGCCCCGCCAAATCGAAATGACCTTGCTATGCCACTTGTTCATCTAATGAAATAATAAATCAAAAAGAAATTGAACATTTGATTTTTTAACAATTCTTTGTTAAATCTTGCTTTATTTCATGCGAATTTACAAGCAAACGCGGCTATTCAATGCAATTCATTCACAGTTACATCCAAGCAATGGTTGTTATGCATTAACAAAATCATGAACATTGAAATGTGAACATGTTTCTAAACTTGCGATTACGCAGTTTTCGACATTTCGTAAATTAAATGGTATCGATAATTGGTATTTAATCACATTCAGTATTTGTTTAATGCATTTCTATATTTACATATTAAATGAGAGTCAATCGTATTGTTGCTTTTTTAACAGTAATCCAATTCCTTTGTCATCACTGTTTATATCCTTAATTGGTTGTCATTTTCCTATGAGTGGATACAGCAAAATAATGTATCTATACATTTCCTAATCAAGTTAACGGTTTGTGTTAATTGTTCAAGTTTGTAGACTTCATTTTGAGAGTATTCCAGCATTAATTTCCTGCCGTTGTACTCTGTAGAAAAGAGACTGAATTAACGAGTGTTTTGAAGCTGTCTTTGCATAACTTTTTGAACGAGTGAAAATGTTTGCCAAGTTCAAGTTTGGAGAATACATGTATGAGGCCGTCTCACTCTTCATGACTAGCCGATGCATGCTTCAGAGTACAGAAAGGCCAGGTGTACTGATACGTGTCTTGAATGCTTTTATTTGTTGTTCCGATGATATATCTCGTTTCCTTTTTCAGTTTCTTGATGTTGAAGGATTGTCATCCGGGCTCATTCAGAGGGGGCAGGTTGAGTTGAGAACTCGGCCGTGGGTGTCGGTAGAGAGGCATTAGTGACGGAGCTGGATTAGGCTGTGAGTGCAGGCAGCGCGACGAACACAAAACGCCAACGCAGACAGATCGCAGGAAACATCATCCATTCTGTCGTTATATGTTACAGTAATTCTTACACAATCTTGATTGCCTTTGTCATTATCAGATTGCCCAGCATACCAAGCCAAGAAGGGTTCGCTTCCTTCCTGACCATCACACTCCCAATTTCCTTCAACTTCTTTGTCATTGCAGGCAATCCAGGCCCTGTAGGTACTATGTTCCTTTCGCGCCAGTTCCACCATGACATTCATTTCCTCGAGCGAGCGAGGAGCGGCCATCTTGCCTCCCATGTCTTGGCAAGCTGACTTGGCGTCGTCCCAAGTATGCGGTGAAGGAGTGAGACGATAACACTCGTTTCCCCACAATTGCCACTCTGGCGGGCAAGAGCATTGGACAGTGAGCCGAGAGTGGCAGGAACCTGACCTAAATTGAGCATTGATCGCTGAAGTGATTGCCACAATGCTGAAAACTTTCAGCAAGTACATGGTGATTCGTTGGATCATCGGTATCAGAGTTTAAAGACCCTCCGAGTGTCTCAGCATTGAAGTCAAATGAAATGAAAACTGGCTGCTGCGGCAGATTATACATGAGTTTGTTTTTCTAACGTAAAATATACGCACAAAGTATCTTGTTGCTATGGTCACATTATAAAACAAACAAACAAAACAAAACAAAAAAAGCGTATTCAAAATAATTACATGCACTACAAATGGACATTAAATATAAGCACAAGTATCGATGAAAACAAAGGCTTTCAATAAGACATCTGCCTTTTCATCTTTAGCTTTTGTTACTTTGGCTTCTAACATTGCTCTATATTCCTTCTGACCTATTAACTACTTAAAATTCTCACAAATAAATTATTTGTTCATCTATATTTCAATCACGCATCCATATCTTCTTGGAAATAACGATATATATTTCTTTTGATTTTTCTGTGATCGTTTTCGAAACCTATGGTGTGAGTGGTGTATTTTAGTTGGAGCCAAAACACAACCAAGTTTTACTCCATGAAAGATCCTGAAGGGATCAGACATCCATCCTCTATGTTAGACTCTTCCCAACCACACCTTAATGGAACTCTCAGACGATGTTTACAAAGTTTCTTGGGTAGCCAAAGCGCCCCAACAAGTGTTATGTCGTGTTTGTAACTTACTTTCAACCTTTTGTTGAAAGTACTAGTTGTTCTCTTTTGAGGGCTCTATTCAATCCCAAAAGGCAGGCTCCCTTACTTAGCTTGATCCCCGTCTCCATTTCATTCGGACTTCAAATATGGAGCCATGTAGCCAGCGGTAAATCTTCCACACATCAGGAATTCCGGAAGCATCCCTCCTGTTGTAAGCAAATGATATGCATGACGTGTACAGGTCTGAATCTTACCTCTTGAATTGAAAATCAGCTAGAACGGTAATGTTTGCCTGCAACCAGTCTATTGCAAAATGCCATATCTCGGAGGTGAGCTTCGATTTTTTCTGAATTACAAGCTAGTCTCTGTTTGAACTATATGATGTTATCCTTTGGAATATTGTTTTTTTTTACACAAACAACAATAAAAAAAAAAGGCATCCCATGATCACCTTTTTGTATTATTATACAGCTGAAACAAACGGGAATCTCTCTTTGTTTTCCTTCTAAGTTTCTCCTGGAGAGTTCATCACCATTTTCAGATACCCTGGCACTATTCCGGGGTACCATTTTATCCTACCGATTCAGCTTAATCAACAAATGGGAAGAAAAAAGCCAACGAACCTGAAGTACATCAAGCCCCAGGTGCATGCTGATGTTCAGAAAGCGATTGATGTTATATTTTACTCTCCGATACAAAGCACTGCAATTATCCAAGTTGGGGTTGGAAGTCGGTCGGAATTGTTCTCGGTTGATGTAGATTACAGCCACCGCATATTCGTGGGTTAAAACAACCGATGTGGCGTTCACATGCTATTTGTTGTGCATTGCTAAAGCTGAATGGTGTTCCGTGTTGAATATTGAGTTCCCTGCGCCTTCACTACAAGAAAATACACTATTGTCACTAAGGTAACCGACTGCATGAACTTGTGAACCAGTCGGACAAATCGCTCTTATTGCTTCGCCGCGGCTGGGAGTCGTCATTCGAGCCACTGATTCACCCTGTATCAAGCCTCGTCCTGGTTTCAGAGAAACAGGCACTTTGAAAAATCCTTAGCAACCTCTTCACTTCTCCGTTCATCATGGAGTTCCCCGTAGAGACATGTTATTTTCGAAAGACGCTACTAATGCGACCATGACAGCAAGGCCATTGTCTCCTGTCTAATGATAGCAACATTGTGCGTCATCGAAAACACGTTTATTCTATAGCTACAGCCTGTATCATTCCATTGCAGTTCAATGTTATGACACTATGATGGACATGTACAGGGAACACATCTGATCCTCTTCAAATTCTGCTACTGAAGGACTAACGAACCATCATGTACTCAGTGGCGTCGCCAAGGGGGGGGGGGGGGCCAGGGGGGGCACGTGCCCCCCCTGGAAAACCTAGTGCCCCCCCCCCCCCAGTGCCCCCCATCAAATGCTGGTGCCCCCCTATCCTCTGCAAAATTCTGCGCGTTGTTAAAATCATTACCTCAAAAATAGCAATTTCTTGAGATATCTTCAGATCGAATTTAGCATCAAATGTGGCACCATTTTGCATCTAGCCCATCCTCCGTATGCACCCCCTCCCCTTAGACCCCTCCCCCAGGACGGCGATCCGTATCCACCTAAGTGCCCTCCCCCCATCAAATGCTGGTGCCCCCCCCCTGTGCCCCCCCCCCCCCCCCCAGACTGAAAAGTCTGGTGACGCCACTGCATGTACTTGTTCAAAGTTTTCAGCATTGTAGCAATCACTTCAGCGATCAATGCTCAATTTAGGTCAGGTTCCTGCCACTCTCGACTCACTTCCCAATGCTCTTGCCCGCCAGAGTGGCAGTTGTGGAGAAACGAGTGTTACCGCCTCACTCCTTCACCGCATATTTGGAATTATTGATGTGCATCAGGTCGTCTTGACGAGGCGAAACCGACCTGAGACATTTATATTAGGCCCCCCCCCCAAAAAAAAAAACACCAACTCGGTCTCTGATCAGCGCGCGCGTCGATTTTAATCATGCGTGTCAACCTTTTTTTTCTTCAAATTAACACGGAAGCTACAACAGCGCCCTCTATTGCCACACCTCCTCAAATTTTTGCACCAAGGAGCACCAAGGAATGGGGAAATTGCACCAAGGCAAATGATAAAGGGCACCAAGGCAAATTATGGAGGACACCAATGTATACTGAGGACACAAAAAAGCAAAATAGTACCCACCTTGTCGGTACAATTCAATCTTGAAAAAAAAAAAAAAAAAAAACTTCGGTGTGACCAGAGACCGATTTTTTTTTTTTGGCCTTATGAACCGAATCAGCGCACCCATCGGAAGATTGTACCAGCCCCACCACCCCATCCCCGGCCACTTTTTGATTTTACTGAGATCAAGTGACCGGAAAAAACCCTGTCTACATGGCATATTGTATTCAAATTACACATTGTAACCAAAAGGTCAAATTACATGACAATTTACATTATTAAAAACATCAAAATCATGGTAAACATTAATTAAACAATGAAAGTTGGCTAAGAAATAAGAGAAATAAACTTATGACATTGCGTATACATGTAGATTTGTGTGCCTCAAATCTTGAAAAATATTTTAAAAAGCCGCTCACAGAGAATAATTGTTCAACAAGTTGATAAAAAGTTAAAACGGGGTCTATAATTAATAACCGAGTGTTCAAAGGATAAGTAATGATGTGCGTTACGAAGGTTGCGGGCGTGAGACTCCCATCCGTCAGGAGGGAGGAGATCATTCGGACCTGAGACAATGACTCTCCTTCCTATCTGCTAGAGACCCATTCCCGCATATTTAAAAAGGTCAAATTGCATAAAAATATTAAAATCGATAAAAACTGGTAAAGTTTGGTTAAGAAACAGGAGAAACCAAGTGATAATCTTGCACAGAGATGTGGTAGCTCTAATCATAAAAAAGGATTATTAGGATTAAAGCTGCCCTGAGAGCTAGAGATTCATGGTGCGTAAGTGGAAGTAGCACTTGATGTGCATTACGCAGGTTGCGGGCGTGAGACTCCCGCCTGGTAGGAGAGAGAAGATCATGTGTACGTTCTGAATTGGCAAGTCCTTCGGCAAACCTAAGACAATGATTTTCCCTCCTCTCAGCAAGAGACTCAAGCCCGCAGAGCTGCATTGCATCCGCATACGAAGTATAGCGCTGTGCCAAAATGGTTCTGCGTGCACGTTTTTGCAGGTGCTCCAGGGTTCTCTTCTGGGCAGGAGTAATGGAGGAAGACCAAGCAACATCAGCATATTCAACAGCAGGCCTAACATAACATGTGTAAATTGATATGAGCTCATCATCATTGAATCCAAAGCCCTTGAGCAGGCGGAGCATATACAATTTTTGATTGGCTTTCTTGAAAATTTCATTGACATTTTTCTCCCATGGAAGGTCGTTCAGTTGCCAGACTCCAAGTATCTTTGCCTCAGATACACAGTTCAAAGGGACTCCCACAACGCTCAACTCGGCATGTGGTGGGGTTTAGTTTTGGAACATGTTTGGATGGCTTGGCACTTGGAGGGATTCAGGCTGAGTTTGTTGGTTTTAGTCCATTCAGTAAATTCATCAAGAACTACCTGCAGCCCATGTACATGATGTAGGTTGGAGACACGAGCGATTTTCAGCAAGTGTCATGTCATCCACATAGTTTCAGCACTTGATCTTTTCACCAAAAGCGTCGTTAATAACAACCTGAAAACCAATGGAGCCGAGTTAAGTTCCTTGAGGGAGAGCTCCACTGAGAACATTGTACTCTGAGAGTGCTTGGTTGTATCGTACACATTGGGCGCGTTTGCTGGCAAAGTCACACAACCAAGGGACGATAGATCTACGGACTCCCGAGCGGATACATTTCAATGAGGATGGAATGGTCAATCATATCAAGCGCTTTGGATAAATCTGCCAGAACCTCCGTCCCAATGTAAGAATTAATTATCACAAACAACTATCAAATTATAACCCAATGCTATATTTAATGGAGGTACAGTAATTTAAGTTCATGGATCATACGTCAGTAAGTTTGTAGACCGATTGACAATTTGAACCAGTGATTCATTAACTTGATTATGTTAAACTTTGGTCAAAACGCCCATTGCAGGATCGTCACGTACACGTCCTCTACACACATCCTATACAGTTGTAATTATTTCTATAAAAAGCACTTCACACCTTAAAATATTCCAGACTACTAGTACCAAATGTTTAGGTAATATTTTGAAAAGATGCATAATTCAGTCATGGTCTGATATTTTGTTCTTAGTAAAAGTGCATCAGTAATGAGCTTGACGAATAATTAACACGCTATAAGCGACTTTAAATGATCATTGCTCTGTGGAATTACTGATATTGATTCACAATTT